ATGTTTTGGGTCAGGCACACCTTAGTCCTCAAAGTGACATCTTTGCTTTTTAACACTTTAAAGAGGTCTTTTGCAGCAGATTTGCCCAATGCAATACGTCATTAGATTATATAACAGACATATACGTATATAATAGATATATGAATAGCCAAAACAATTTTTAAAAATCAACTTGGAACACTCACACTATCCAATTTTAAGATTTACTATAAAACTACAATAATCAAGACAGTGTGGTAATGATGAAGGAATACGCACATACATCAGTGGAAAAGAACAGAGAGTTCAGAAATAGACCTATACAGATACGGTCATGGTGCAAAGGCAATTCAATGGAGTAAGGATAGTCTACTTAACAAATGGTGTTGTGGGGGCGGGGGTGGGATGGAGGAGGGAGGAACCTTGACCTAACCCTTCTACCTTATGCAATAGTAACTCAAAATAGATCAAATATCTAAACTGTAAAACCATACACTTTTAAAAGAAAACAGGATAAAATCCTCATGACCTATGACTAGGCAAACAGCTCTTAGGTATGACTCTGAAAGCAAATACAGGAAAAAAGTTGATAAACTAGACTTCATCAAGCAAGTCCTTTTGCTCTGTGAAACACTGTTAAAGAGAATGAAAAGGCAAGCTGTGAACCAAGAGAAAACATTTGCAAACCACATAGCCAATAAAGGGAGTATATCTAGAATACAGAAAGAACTCTCAAAATTCAGTAAGAAAACAGAAAACCCAATAATATGGGGAAAAGATTTGAACACATCACCAAAAATGATATACAAATAGGAAATACACACAAGAAAAAATATCCAACATCATTAGCCATTAGGAAATGTAAAGTAAAACCATAATGAGATACCACTACACATCTGCTAGAAGGGCTGAAAAAACAAACAACAAACTGACTATATCAAGTGCTGGTAAGGAAGTGAAGCAACTGGGGCACTCATATATTGCTGGTGGAAATGCAAAATGATACAGTCTGTCTACAAAACAGTCTAGCAGTTTCTTATACAATTAAACAACACTTTATATTCCAGAGTAAGAAGTAAAAATTTATGTCCACACAAAAATGTATACACAATGTTTATAGCAGATTTATTCATAACTACCAACAATTGGAAACAACCCAAATATCCTTCAACAGGTGAACAGATAAACTGTGGTACATCCATACAATGAAATACTCCTTCACAATAAAGAGGAATGAACTATTGATATAAAAACATGGATGAATTTCAAAGCCATTATGCTGGAGCCCTGATTAAACACCCAAGGCCCAAACAGGGTAGAAGATTAGATTAGACCATGCCGAAAGCCAGAACACCAAGGGAAACACCTTGGTGGGTGAATTAAGGTGGTGGGGAGCGGGGAAGACCTCTTGGAGTCAACAGTGTTCTGATGCCAGAGAGAAAAATCTCATTTGACAATTTCTGATCACAAGCCTGTACTTACACGGTTTAGGGCCTGAAAAATCCAAGACAAAAATTTACTTTCAAATGTCCCCAGGTGCATGACAAAAGCATATGTAAATATACTCTAGAATAAACCAATTTAAACACAGCCCTCAAAAAATTCCCACTAAAAATAGTCCTAGAAACATACGTTAACTGTCAAAAATTACTAAAATCACAAGCCACTGAGAGTGTGAATCTGCAGAAACAAAGAAATGCAGAATCAGATCCACAAAAACTGTAGACTGGAATTATCAGATAATGAATATATGTTTAATAAATTTTAAAAAAAGATTAAAAGATGAGTGGGATGAAAGGATAAAGAAATAAGAAACTGAAAAATGAGGCAAATTTGAAAAAAAAATTTCTAGAAACAAAAAACTCAGTAACTTTAAGATAAAAATAACATGAATAGCACTTAGCACAGAATTCAATAAATGCCACCTATTAGGAATTTTAAAACATTAAAAAATTTTATCTGCAAAGTACAGTAAAATAGTAATAAAACTGAGATGAAGATAGGGCTGAAATAAGCCTATCTGAATAATGGTTTGATTTCAATATCTCTGGTAGGACACTTGACCCTTCTTCATTTGTTAATTCAGCTAGAAACTACTCTAGGTATCCCTTCTGTTCCTTTTTCCACTCCATTCTTCAAATCCTCCCAAATTTGCAAGCGGTTGTGGGAGGAAAAAAAACTATTTTGATCCGTTTATTCCCCATATCAAGTTCTGCTTTGTGAATTAATCAAAATAAAAAGAAGAAGAAGAAAGAAAAGGATAGAGAACAAAGTCACATACTTACTTTTCATTAGTTTTCCTGATAATTCACTTAGTGGACTATTTCTACTAGCTACTATAAGTTTGGAGGATTCTTGGTTTTCCATGGAATCTTGATAAGTTCCTTTGGTCATTTCAAGATGGAGAGGATGGACATCTTCACATTCCCGGGAAAGCAGCAAGTGATTCTGAGTGTTGTTAGTTCTATTATTCAGGTCAGTTCTTTCCGATTGAGTCATAAGCAATTGGGCTGAGCCAGAATCCTCCAATCTCTTGTCAAGAGACTCAGTTACAAAAGATGTTGTGGTTTCATTCTTTTTAGTTGGAGACACAGGCTCAGCCAATGAGCTCTGCTTCACCGTATTCAGACTGTGTGCTCTTATACGGGACCAAGTTGTAGAGTAAAAACTTTCGGCCTCTAACCAGAATTTAACCAAATGCTCCATTCTACGAAGTTCCATGAATTGAATGAAATAAGGGAGGACGACAGTGTCATGCAAGACTTGTTCAAGGGTCTTTGAGAGACTTGATTTAGTCTCTTGAGTCTGGTAGTCCAGACAAGATCTACCTAAAAGACAGAAGCAAAAGAATTAGCAGTACAGTAACAAATAATTTAAGATTGACACATTAGTCAGTCACCTTTCTAGCAACAGTGTACCACAGGTCTTGAATAAAGTTTACTTCCTAGCAATCTAAATTAAGAATTAGAAATACTATGGATATGGTTTTTAAACAAAGCAAGGAAAGACCTGTTCAATAATTATTTAAATAATTAAAAGCTAATCTTTATTGCTCAATTAATCCTCATCTCTCTTTTAATGGCAATTCAGACCATGTAAATTCTTAAGGGGGGGGAAAAAAAAAAAAACTATGATCATTAGTCCCAAAGAAAGAAAAAAGGCCAACAGACACATTAAAAAAAAATTCAACCTCATTAAAAATCCCAGAAAAGCAACTTAACACAAGATACACAGTTTGCTGTCAAATTGTAAGACTTTTTTTTTTGAAAAATAAAACCAAGCACTGGTTAAAATGACAAACTTTTTGTTATATATATTTTACCACTATAAAATTATTTTTAAAGACACTCATGTAGATTGCCAAGGCTTTGCTGTCTCTTACCGAATACTTCTCCAAAAAGGTTTGGCCAATTTACATTCTCATCACCAGTGGGTGTTGCCTGTTTTCCTACTCTCTGGTGACAGAGGAATGGGGAAATACTGCTGAAGAGGTACTTATTTTTTTTTGGAGAGGCGAAAAACTTTTAGAAGTAGATAGAGTGATGTTGCACATGAGGAATGTAATGTTACTGAACTGTTCACTTAAAAATGGTTAAAATGACAAACTGGTAATTTGACATTACATTCCCCATGTTGTGCAACATCACCTCTATCTACAGCAGAAATAAGTGAAATAGAAAATATAAAAACAATGCAGAGACTCAATGAAACCAAAAGTTGTTTCTTTGAGAAGATAAATAAAACTGAGAAACCTTTAGCTAGACTGACAAGGGAAAAAAATAAAACGAGAGAGAGAGAAGATACAAACAATGAAAATCAGAAATAAAAGTGGAAACGTAACTATCAACCCTACGAAAATGAAGAAGGATTATAAGAGAATACTATGAACAACTGCAACAAACTGGATAACCTAGATGAAATGGATGAATTCCTACAAACACACAAACTACCTAAAGAGACCCATAACAAGTGAAAAGATCAAGTCAGTAATCGAAAACCTCCACAAAGAAAAATCCAGGACCAGGCAATTTCGCTGAGGAATTCTACCAAAGATTTTAGGAAGAATTAGCACCAATTCTTCTCAAATTCTTAGAAACAGAAGAAAAGGGAACACTGACTAACTCATTTTCCCCGATACCAAATCCAGATAAAGATACCATGAGAAAAGAAAACTGCAGACCAATATCCCCTATGAACAGAGGTGTAAAAATTCTCAACAAAATACCAGCAAAGTGAATCCAACAGCATGTTAAAAGACCTATACAGGCAGTCCCCATGTGACCAACATCTGATTTACATACTACCTGTTATGAACCAACCCCTGTAAAGCCTATTATATTAAAAATTCAAGGTACATACAAAAGTTCATATTAAACAGGCGCTACTTTGTGACGCATCAAAACATTATTACCATGTATTATTATGTTAAACATGTTTTAGTGTACCTGGAAGTGTTTCTTTAATATTTTTTTAATGCACAGAAAGACACACTATATACCACATACTAAGACAAACACTTGACTAACTGACGTTAGATACGAACCGTACCTAACTGTTCCGACTTATGTACAAGTTGAGCTTAAAGACAGATTTGGGAACGAAACCCGTTCGTAAACTGGGGGCTGCCTGTACACCATGACGAAGTGGGATTTATCTTAGAAACACAAAGGTAGTTTAACATAAGAAAATTAGCCATGTAATACACACATTGTTAAAACGAACGGATAAGAACATGATCATCTCAGTTGATACAACGAGAGCATCCTTTCATGATAAAAACACTCAAGAAAATAGATTAGGAGGGAAATTCCTCAATATGATAAAGGGCATTTATGAAAAACCCCATGCCTAACATCATACTCGATGGTGAAAGACGGAAAGCTTTTTCCCTAAGATCAGGAACAAGATCAGGATGTTGCTTTTACTACTGCTATCAAAATTGTACTGGAAGTTCTAGTCAGAGCAGTTAGGTAAGAAAAAGAAATAAAAGGCATCCAAATTAGAAAGGAAAAGAATTAAAACTATATTTGCATATAACATGATTTTGCATATGGAAAGTTCCAAATAATCGATAGGGAAGCTATTAGAGTAATACATGAATTCAGCAGTATCACAGGGCATCACACAAAATTCATTTGTGTTTCTATACACCAGCAATGAGCAAACTGAAAGGGAAAATAAAAAAGCAGTTCCATTTACAATAGCATCTAAAAGAATAAAATACCTAGAAATAAATTTAATCAGGGAGGTGACAACTTATACACTGAAAAGTATAAAACAGTACTGAAAGAAATTAAAGAAGACCTAAATAAATGGAAAGACATTCTCGGTTCATGGATTGGAAGACTTAATATTGTTAAGCTGTCAATACTACTCAATGCAATCTACAGATTCAGTGCAATTCCTATCAAAATTCCAATAGCCTTTTTTTCAGAAATAGAAAAGCTGATCCTCAAAATCTTATGGAATTGCAAGGCACCCTAAATAGCTAAAGCAATCTTGAAAAAGAAGAACAAAGTAGGAGGACTCACCTCCCAATTTCAAAATATAGTACGCAGCTACAGTAATCAAAAGTGTGGCACAAGGATAAGGATAGACACATAGACCAATGGGATGTAGCTGGCAGTCCAGGAATAAACCTTCATCTATATGACCAACCGACACCCTTAACAAGGGTGTCAAGTCCATTTAATGGGGAAAGAATAGTCTCTCAATACAGTCATGTATCGCTTAATGTCCATGATACATTCTGTGAAATAGGACATTATGCGATTTGGACATTTTGTGAACTCCATATTTTATACAGGCAGTCCTTAGGTTACAAACGTCTGACTTACAGACAACTTGTACCCTTAAGCTCAGACTGCCATAAAGCCCATTAACAATTTGAGTTAAATACATACATGTTTTGTAAAAACGAATGCACGCATTACTTTGTGACGCTCACAAAAACATCGCGTGATTTGGAAGCTGTCTTAGTGATCCAGTGCAGCTCTAACACAAATACCACAAGTTTTAACAGAGAAATTTATTTTCTCACAGTCTAGTAGGCTAGAAGTCCAAATTCATGGCGTCAGCTCCAGCGGAAGGCTTTCTCTCTCTGTCGGCTCTGGAGGAAGGTCCTCGCCATCATCAGTCTTCCCCCGGACTAGGAGCTTCTCTGCACGGGAACCTCGGGTCCAAAGGACACACTCTGCTCCCAGTGCTTCTTTCTTCGTGGTATGAGGTCCCCCCCACTTTCTGCTTGCTTCCCTTTCCTTTTATCTGAGATAAAAGGTGGTGCAGGCCACACCCTAGGGAAACTCCCTTTACATTGGATCAGGGATGTGACCTTAGCAAATATATTATACAATTCCACCCTAATCCTCTTTAACATAAAATTACAATCACAAAATGGAGGACAACCACACAATACTTGGAATCAGGGTCCAGCCAAACCGATATGCACATTTTTTGGGGGGACATAAATTCAATCCACGACAGAAGTGTTTCTTAAGTGTTTTGTCCGCTATGTCCTGTTCTCTGATCAGGACTTCTGAGCTGTATTATAACCTTATGGGACCATGGGCATATGTGCAGTCTGATAGTGTCCGAATAGACATTATGTGTCACATGACTGTAAATGGTATTAGGACAACTGAATCTCCACGTGCAAAAGAATGAGGTTGGACAATTTTCTATTTCATTTATTTCTGCTCTAATCTTTATTTCCTTCTGTCATGGATTGAACTGTGTCCACCAAACATGTGTGCCAACTTGGCTAGTTCTTGATTTCCAGTATTGTAGTGACTGTACACCATTTTGTCATCTGATGTGATTTTCCTATGTGTTGTAAATCTTATCTTTGTAATGTTAATGAGGTAGGATTAACAGTGGTTATGTTAATGAGGCGGGACTCAATCTATAAGATTAGATTGTGTCTTAAATCAATCTCTTGAGATACAAAAGACAGAAGCAAGCAGAGAGACATGGGGATCTCGTAACAACAAGAAAGCACGCTGGGAGCAGAGTGCGTCCTTTGGACCTGGGGTTCCTGCTCCTGAGAAGCTCCTAGACCAGGGGAATATTGATGACAAGGACCTTCCTCTGAGCTGACAGAGAAAGCCTTCTCCTGGAGCTGGAGCCCTGAATTTGGACTTCTGGCCTACTAGACTGTGAGAGAATAAACTTCTGTTTGTTGAAGCCACCCACCTGAGGCATTTCTGTTACAACAATACTAGATAACTAACACACCTTCCTTCTGAAAGCTTTGAGCTTCCTTTGCTCTTTGTTTTCTAGTTCCTCAAGGTGTAAAATTGAGATCTTTCTTCTTTTTTACCATGGGTAGTTACAGCTATAAATTTCTCTCTGTGGACTGATTTTGCTGTATTACATAAGTTTTACTATGCTGTGCTTTCATTTTTCTTTACTGCTGTTATTTTCTTATTTTTCTTCTGCTTTTTACTTCAACCCACTGGTTGTTTAATAGTGTGCTGTTTAATTTCCACGTATTTGTGAAATTTCCAGTTTTCCTTGTTATTGATTCTTAGTTTCATTCCATTGCGGTCAGAGAAGATATTTTGTATGACTTCAGTTTTTAAAACTGAGACTTGTTTTGTGAACTAACATATCGTCTATTCAGAAGAATGATGTCTGTGCACTAGGTAAGAATGTGTATTCTGCTATTACTGGTAGAATGTCATATACATGTCTGTTAAGTCTATTTGGTTTACACTGTTGTTCAAGTCCTCTATTTCCTTTCTGATCTTCTCGAGATGGTCTGTCCATAATTGATAGGGGTATACTGAAGTCTCCAACTATTATTGCAGAACTATTTCTCTCTTTAATC